GATATTCCATTGCAGGAGCAGTGTTGGGCTAAAATGTGATTGATTACTTGTTATTTTATTGATTTTATTACTTATTACTTCCTGCTGACAGTAATTAGTTACATAGATAAAGATGAAAATCACAGTATTGTGTTTCTACAGTAACCAATCAATAATATTAATACAGTATTTTGATGTAAAATTACAATATATTGTATATAACTCACAATATCTGGCTGTATTAGTCAAATAATGACCCATCATGCATTGCAAAAAAGTAATTACAGTAGTTTACACTGTTCACAATCACCAGGTTTTCACAATAAAAGTAAAACGTTTTATTTTATTAGAAGATAAATCGACTGTTAAACTTTATTTTTTGAATTAAATTGAAGTGATTCTGTGAGGTTTTTTATTCACAGTGTTTTATTTAACTGATCCTCATTAGTTCTCAGTCATGCAGCAGAGGGCGCTGTAACCAAACATATTGATCACTGAGATACTGACAACAATGTAAAAATACTCTGTTACAAGTCCTGTATTGAAAATGTGACAGTGAAAGTATAATCAATAATATAATAAACGTACTTAAAGTATTAAATTAAATGTCCCCAGTGACTGTTGTACTTTTATATATATAATATTATTAGTTATTATGACGCAGAAGCAGGATTTTATTGTTGTAATTGGTTGAAGTGGCTCGCAACTAATTATTATTTTATTATGGATTAATATGCTTATTATTATCTCCATTAACTGATGGTTACTTGGTTCGTTTGTAAAAAAAAAATGACAACAAAACACATTTTATTTGTATGTTAACATCTTAGTAAGTCAGTAAATGTGTAAAATATCTGTAGTGAAGTATAAAAAGTATACGGTGGCATTAACAGAAGAGCTGTAGCTTATATTTATAAAAATAAAGCAGCTCCGTCAGTATTTCGTGTTCAGGGATTGTTGGAGATCTTCATGCTGCAGATTTGACCTTTCTGTCAGAGCTGCTCTCAACATAAGCAGGATTACACCTCATGTCACACAGCACTTATAGGTTCACTATATAGGAGTCTGTCTGTCTGTCTGTCTGTCTGTGGTGCAAAGTAACTAATGAAATGTACTCAAGTACTGGAGTTGAATGCAACCTTGAGGTACTTAAGTAATGGCCCTGAGAACGTCTTCCAGCAGCGTGTAATGTGACATTAAATACTTAAGTAAAAGAACCAGTACAATGTAAACATACAGAAATATTATTACATGTTCTTGTTCTGCAGTAAAATCTCCCCTGTGACTGTTCTTATGTATCATGTGGTTGGATTAATAATTAATTCATTTATTATATATTCTGTCAATGATTAATATGCTGCATCAATGTTAGAGCAGCTTTTTACTGCTGTAGCTGCTCCAGGTGGAGTTATTGAACTACCACAGATAGTTCAGTCCAGTGGTTCCCAACCTACGGGTCGGGCCCCTCCAGAGGGTCACAATATAAACAGTTCAAACAGTAAGCTAACAGTAGCATATAGATAAATTTGTGAAATTCTGTAATAGGTATCTTTAGCTATTGTCATTTTATAGATTAACTAATTAGTTTACTAATCAAAAAATAATATTAGACTAATAGAAAACGATAACTGTTGCAGCACTAAATTAAATATCCACCAGTATAAAATGTTTAAAGTGCTTTTACATCAGATACTTTGAATACATTTAGGTATTAATACTTTTACTCGAGTAATACTCTCAATAACCAGACTTGTAATGGAGTATATTTAAGGTATTACTGTTCACTGGAGCGTCATTAAGTTTGACTGTCAGCTGCCAACCCCCCCACTCTGCTCTCCACATACCAGCAGCACACCTGTGGTTCTCTGTTTAAAGAGCCTGGCAGAACCTGAAACACACTTTAAAGAGATCCGCCTGTTGCAGAAGCATAAATATTCATGAGAGGAATTTTATGAGAGGGAAAAGATGAAAGACTTCCAGCATGTGTCACAGTTTATTCTCAAAGGAGACGAGTCCTGTCAGAAACATGGGGAAATCTCTTTTTATTCACAGTTGACTGAGTTCATTGAGTTTTATTTTGATCCTCAGCATATTACACAGACTGAACAACATCACAGTATAATACAGTATAATTATACTAATACTTACATTCTTTATCAGTAAATTAGATATACTTTAGTGGAAAATGTTCAGTTCATCCAGGAAGTTATGATTGTAACAATTAACTCAAATTCTGCACGACCTTGATTTTTTGTCCAATTACAGCATATTTGACTAATCATTGTAGTTTCCACAAAACTATTTTATTACAAGTTGCCTTTGATTTTTATCCAGTTATACAAAAAATGACTGTATAATAATAACTATTTTTGCTGATTTAACCTTCTCCAAGAATTTATTGCAAGAAATGGCTTTTCTCCACCATATATATTACATATTATACTAGATTTTAGTCAATCATTAACTATGTATATATAATAAGAAGAATAAATAACTTTAGCAATTATCTAAACAAGGTTAAATTGTGCTTGACAAAAAACATGAGAATAAAACAAAGTATAAATACAGTTATTCATAAAGTAACAGTATTGTCTCCTTTTTTAAAGACAATAAAGATATGTTATATAAACTATTAATATATATAATGAAGTATCAGTATTTACATTTAGGCTTGTACCTTCCGTCATTTTATACTATTTCTACATTTCAGTGGTAAATATTTAACTTTCCACTCAATTATTTTTAACCTTACAGCTATTGCTACTATAAGATATATGTAAACTATCATCTTATTAATTAAGGTGCATTGTTAAGTTATAGATTAATCTACTCAACAAGGTATAAAGCAGTGAAAACTATAGAAAAGTGTGCTCGCTGTTGAATAACGCAGGTACAAACACTGTAAAACAGTTCAGATATTTCATTATGTTAAACTCCATTCAGCAGTTGAAGTGTCAGTTATCTAAGAAGGCATAAAAATGTAAAGAATTTAACAATTAAAACGAGTAAAAAAAACTAATTTGAAAGGTTTTCACTGTAGGATATGATATATTTTTCACCGCTGTGAGTAAATAAAACTGCTCAGACTCAGAGGCTCCTGACTGGCTCTCCTCCAAGTCAGTCTGTCCCCGACGTACACCTCCGTCTCCAGACGGGATTTCCTGTCTGTCTGAGGGAAGGCCCCGATCTCAGGAACCCACCCCAGGCTCCCAGCACTGGGACTGGGACGTGGACTGGGACGTGGACTGGGACTGAGGGACAGCAGTGAGCACACTCACCCTCATTATGTTTATCAGTGGCTTTGTTTCCTGCCCTCATTGTTTAGGATGAGCAGGAAGGATGAGCCATCACAAAACCATGACTGTTCTTCCTTTATTCTGTCGTTGTGTTGCTGTAATGTGGTATCTGTTGGGTTTGAGCAGGATTAATCACTTCACGCTGTAAAACAAGATTTCAGTAAAACTAAGACTGAGTCAGCTGTAAAACACAGAGAGAGCATGACAATGTAGAAGTTGAAAGAGCTAGATAAAGGTGACGGAGAAATGGTTTGAATAGATAAAATGCAAGAGAGAAACAATTTAATTAGTTAGGTAACAGTAGCTCAAAGATAAACAGTTGGAATTAACTTAAAGTAACTGAACAGAAATATATAAATATAAAGTGATGGTATCTAAAAGTCATGTTTAAACAGTTATAATAGTTAACTGAACAGACATTTGCAGCTGAAGTTTATAATAGCCTAATGTTTGGAATATATAGTTTAATTTATGGATTAGCAGTTCAGATTAGTGGATAACAGTATTGATAGTATTAGTGGATAACAGCATTGATTAATGGATACTGACAGGGCTGTGTTGGTACTGGGGACCATAATTACTCACTTTTATCTTCAGATTCAATTATTTTTGTTCATTGAGTTACAAATAATCTGGTTTGTCATATTTGTTTCTTTGTCTAAAGTTTAGTATTTTTGCTCAACCTTTCCTGGTGTAAACCCGACACTTTAAAGTGTGAGTTAATGGAAAATACAGCTTTCAGTGATTGTAGCTGAATGAACGACAGTATTTATCTGTTCCTCCACAGGGATCACAGACTGACTGACATCAGCCTCGTATCTACTGTAAACACTGAGTGCTGCTTCCTGCCTTCTCCTGCAGGCCGACATGAGGAAGAAAAAGAAGCGACAGCCCAAAAAACCCAGAAAAAAAAAGCCTGGAAATGTGTGTAAAGTATAAACAGAAGAAACATACACGGTAGTCGGCAGTGTACAGTAAATATAAAGCAACTGGTAGCAACAGGTTGGCTTCTAGGTTTTAGAAATAGGTCAAAATATGAGCAAAAACATGTTATTCTCACCCTGTTTTTATACGGATTAAACAAATGAGATGTTCATTAGTGAGTTTTATAGGTATAGATAATTTTTTGGCAGAGCCAACCTAGCTGTTTCCCTGCTAAGCTAAGCTAATCGCTTGCTGGATGTAGCTTCATATTTACAGATATAAGAGTATCTTCTCATGTAACTCTCTCTATATATATATATATACTATCCTAAGTTCACCAAATCAAGTCATATCAACTTGTTTCACACAACAAAGCATTATCGTTGCAATGATTATTGATCCGTCCCTCCAGGATTTCACACTTTTTGGGGAATTGATGAATTTTAAAGCTGCTTTTCTAAAAAAATTGCAATGTTTTTAGTGATTCTTTTCAATTAAATTGTGGTGAAAATTGCTAAAAATAGTCACAATTTTCATTTAAATTTTTAGTGTAATTCATAAAAAAATTTAAGGCAACTTGTTTATATCAAATTTGTGGAAAAAAATTGCAAGGTCGCCCGAATTCATGGTAGAATTTGTGTTAATTGTTCATTGTAACTAAACATCGCCACTTCCTGGAGGGACTGAATAGTGAAATATTGAACTACTGAATGGATTTGGGATGATTCTAGCGCCATCTTCAGGTCAAAGTTTTATTTTATCCAACACTTTGGTTTACAACTTAATGCCTGCAAAACTAATTCCTGTTAACCTCAGTACTTTGTGTTTAGTGTTATGTTTATATAGAAACATTTGGGTATGTTTGTGTACATAAATAGATGAATCTGTAGTTTCGCTTTATTTCTCTTTGTAGCACCGGATGTTTGGAATACAAAAATAACTGACCGTACCATGCAGATTTGCTAGTGTGGCTTTAGACTCTACATTTTGGGACATTTTAGATCCATAGTGTTTGTATAAAAGGTTTAATTATCAGACGTCACACATGGTTTGTCTGAAACCCTGGTTTAAGGTTTCTATGGACAAAACCTCCGAGGCCTTCGGGTCCGACAGGCCGCAGTTCGAGAGCTTCCTGGCGGAGATGGTGCGGTGGCTTTCGGACCGTCAGCAGCAGGTGGACGAGCTGTTCAGCCACAGCGACACAGACAGAAGTGGATCAGTCAACCTGAAGGATTTCGAGCTGGGTAATCCATCTTCTCTCTGCACTTTCATCCCCACAGTCTCAGCAGGCTGTGAGAAGCTCTGTTTCTTGACAACAATCACAGTTGTTTCCTGTGATTTATGGTTTAATATGCTAATATCAGATTGAAAACTCCCTTGTAATTTCTCACAGCAGCCTTCAGTGTCTGCTCCAGCTCCTCTGAATGTCAGATACAGATAATCTTGAAGGAAAAAGAGATTAGAAAGAGATATGTGGGTCAGTATTAACCAAATGCCACAGTGTGGTTGTACTGAAGTATTTATGGAGGGTACTGTGAGTCAGACTTTTGATAATGCGAGCAGTGGCTCATTTCCTCTTATCCCTCTCGCAGATAAGAGCAGCTGGCTCTGGGAAACACAACCGGGACAATGTTCCTTTTGTCTGTCAAACTTCAAGAGCTCTGAGTAAACTACACTTTTGTACTGAGAGGTGTTTGAGGAGCTCCTAGGAGCAGGTTTCAAAGCAGCCCTGCAGGACAGTAATGATGAGGTTCAGACTGTGATTCATCAGCTCAGCTCGTACATCTTAATGATTCAGAAAATCTTCCCCAGTCTTCTCCTTTAGTGAGCATTTGTTTTTGTTTTGGATTAAAATATCTCAACAAATATTGGAGATTGCCATAAAATGTGGTTCAGTCATTCATGTCTCATATGGCTTTTTTATCTAGCGCCATCAAGTTTTTAATTTATCCAGTACTTTGGTTTATGACATAACATATATATCTAAAAAACTAATGACGTTCCCATCAGCCTTTGTGTTTTGTGCAACTGTTAGCATGCTAACACGCATAGCTAACATGATAAACATGGTAAACACATGAAGAGCATAAATGGATTCTGTAAAATCTGTCAAACAAATCACCAACCTCAAGATTTAGAAACATTTATACATTTTAATGACCCAATATTCTTTTTAAATGAAAGAAAATGGTCCAAAAATCTCTGTTTGTCTCTCTAGAGCTCATTTTTGTAATCGTAACACAATTATTTCCAACATAATAAAATACATTTCTTTGCAAAATAAGAAATGATGTTCTGCATTTGTTGTTAAAGAGAAAAATGAGACAACACGGAGCAAAATGAATGTCAGTGTCTGTCACTGAATTTACATGAATAGCATTAAAGTACTTGACTCTTTACATCGACAGAAAGAAAATGAATTAAAGTTCCTTTATTTGAGTCCTCACAAAAAGAAAATGAAAACTCTAACTGAAGGAAATGTTAATGTGGTTTTTACGGTTTAAATATTGTAAATTTGTTCCTATCAGTAATGAATCATCACATTTAAAGAAATTCTACCAGCTGCAACATGAGCAGTATGAACCTATCGATATTGATCAGACTCCATTATGATTGACCCGAGTGTCGCTGGCTGCAGGTCTGATGAACCTGGGCGTCCCCTGTCAGCAGTTTCAGCTCCACGCGCTGACTCAGCAGCTGCAGAACGCCAACGACACCATCAGTTATCAAGACCTGAGCCGACAAATACAGAGACTGAGGTAAAACAAACAGTTTCCCTGATTGAGTTTCTGTTTTGTTTTTGTTGTTATTAACTGTTTGTTTGTTTTCTGTCTTTTTGAGCGACGGCACAGAGACCAACACTCAGATATCAGAGGACAGATGTTCTCCACATCAGCCACTGAACCCTGAAAAGGACAGGTAACTCGTGTGTGTGTGTGTGTGTGTGTGTGTGTAAACGTACTTCAAGACACTACTGTTCTCTCTATATGACCAACATAACAACAAAGTGACAGTTCATTAGCTGCTACTTTAAGTAAAAATAGCAAACTGTTATAAGTAAAAGTCCTGCAGTCAAAATCAAAAAAAGAAATCAAAGAGCTACTTTCTTCCACAGATTTCCTGTAAAAACAGGCAGCTATGGAGGGCAGCTACAAACTTCATTAATGATCCTCTGTCTGTCTCTGAGGTTGTGTTCACTGGGAGGCTGCTGAGCCCCGTTCAGACGCTAACGGCAGCTACATTAGCATTTAGTGGAGTTGAGTAACATTAAGTTTTAAGAATGATTCATACAAAAATACAAAAAAATTGAGTTTTCTTTACATTTTTTGGGGGCATAAATTGTTAATATATGACTGAGGATGCAATGTTGTACTTGAGGATGGCTGTTAGTGTAACAATCAGACAATCAGTCAGAAAACCAGTTCACAAACAACAGACCAACCAGAACCTTTTATACCCTGTCCCCTGCTCCCTGACCTGCCAATCAGGGAGAAGCTCTCTGATCAGGTGGCTTCAATCTCCCCTCGTTAAGAGCTAAATACTTAATACTTAATTGTATTTGGACAGAATAATAATCACGTTAATCCTCTAAAATATATACATAATCAAGTTGATAAACAAGTAAACATTCCTGCCTTTGAAATTAACTGACCTTACAGCAGAAAACATTACCCATTTCATAATAATATATATATATATTGTCCTTTATATTATATATTAATGTGTGACCATCGTGTTGCAGGGAGCTTGAATCCATAATAACACATCATAATTTATTAGTAAATATATATTTTTATACAGTAATTCCTTCTAAAAAGTAGAAGAGTATAAAGTAGCATAAAATGGAAATTACCTCAAAACTGTTTACTGCATTAAAGCTGCAATAGGTAACTTTCATTAAAGATATAACTTTTTTTATCGTATTTACTGAAACTTTGACAAAATCCTGACAGTAATACATGAGACAGATAATGAACCACTGCAAATCACTGGGGACAGCTAATACATCTTATTTCTTTATAACTGTCTCTCTCTTCTTTGGCTGAACTGTAACAAACCTCAGTCAGTTATTTCTGAGCTCGGCTATCAGCAATAAATCTACAGACACACGAGCGCTCAACAGCTACGTCAACGCAGCAGACCTCAACGCGACCTGAACACAAGTGGTGTTGCTTTTTTTGACCTGCTCGCCATAAATGTTTTTTGTGTGTGTGTGTGTGTGAGAGAGAGAGAGACAGATTTATGGTGTTTATCAGACAACCAGGAACCGACTGTAAACCACAACAATCTTTGTTTAAAGACAAATCAAACAACTGACCTTTCCTATGTGACCTAACGCCCTTTATGGAACCTCAGTCAACTCTCCTGTGATATGTTGAAGACATTTTCAAGATGGTTAAAATATCAAAGTCACATCTTAAGTTCGCGAATGTTAGCAAACTATTCTACATCTATATTGTTACATTGCTAATTAAAAAATACACATTAAATAAAAAATAAATAAAATAGAAAAATACAACATATAATGAAAATAGATGAAATTAAAATAAGTTATATGTAATATACAGTTTTTTATATATGTGATTGATAAGGAACATTGTACAGGTTACAGTGGGATGTAAAAATAAATGATTGTACAGGGATAAATATATATAAAGCAGTATAGATTAGGGGAAATATAAGCAATTAATATACAGTACAGATCTAATATCAATAATGTTTTTGTAGTAAATGATATATATGTATCTATATATGCACAAACTAAACAGTATTGGCATTAAGATAATGTTTTAGCTGCTCTTAATGACTGTGACGTTTCCTTTAGTGCTTCATTTGTGTATTTTAGTGACTTTTAGATGGATTGCCATTAAATACACATTCATGTTCTCTTCAGGATAAACTGTAAAAACTTTGGTTTTCCTTTAACTTTTCATATAACTGTAGTGATGTCACAAAGTTAAAACTCTAATTTGTCCTTTGCTTTATTAACAGCTTGTTAGCTCTTGTTAGCTTTCATTATAGCAGATATACACACTGTTTAATTAATTTATTACACTTTTGTTCTTGTTTTTTTGGTTTTTGAATTGAGATTTTAAAACTCCAAAGAAAGAAAAGGAAGTTGTTTGTAAATTATTTATTTATTTGGCACTTCAGGGCTACCGTAGAGTCTCTTATATAAAACAACACAGACTCATCTTTACCACATTAACTCGCACAGAGCACAGAGTGAAGTGTACAGCAACACGGACACAAAACATACGTCAGCTTTTATAAAACAAGTCAGGTCAAGTTGATTTATCGAACCCATAATTACAACCTCTCAAACTGTTTCACACGACTCTTATTTCAAAGCAAGAATTTAACTCCCCGACCCCCCCGAAAAAAAACCCCAAAACAGGCTCATAAACAGATCCTGTGTGATCAGACTTTAACTGTCACCAACAGGTTCGTCCGTCTGAGCGTCAGACTGATCCCCTTCGACTCCGCCGCAGCCCATCCAGGGAACTTCGAGGTGGTTTTGTCGAGCAGCAGCAGAGTTTTCAGTCTGATGAGAATAATCCGGGACCGGGTCGGGATCCAGACCTCCAGGCTGGAGGTTTTCCGGAGCAGAGTGCCCACAGAGGAGGCCCGACTGCCCCCGGAGAGCTCGCTGGAGGAGTGTGGCTTTAAAGGAGGGCCAGAGGGAAGTCCTCTAGAGGACACTGTGTACTACGACTACACGCTGCTGTTTACAGACTGTCCGCTCCTCAACTGTGACCATTACTTCAGGTCAACTGAAGACTCTGCTGCCAGGAGGAGGAGCCCCCGTCCATAAACATGTTAGCATTGTGGTAGCATTGTGGTTCAGACTGAAATATCTCACATGGATTTTCATTTTTAGGATGAAACTGTAATAACTTTAGTTTTAACTTCCATTCTGGCGCCATCATGTGGTTACAGTTTTAATTTGGTCAAACACATTTGGTTTATGACCAAATTCGCTGCTAAACTAATTAAATTCCCATCAGCCTCAGGTGTATACATTAGCATGCTGAAACACTTAACTAAGATAATGAACATGGTAAAGAATTATATCTGCTTAGCATCAGCAAGGTGATAGCATTAGCATCAGCTTTACTTTATGCTTTGTGTTGAAATTGAAGATGAGAATGTGGTAAACATTAGTATCAACTGTAGTTGTTGAGTTTAGTGTTTTTTTAGTAACTCCAGCTATCAGATACATGTAGTTGAGTAAATGTAGTAAAGCAGAAGTATAAAGTAGCATAAATAAATACCCACGTAAAGTAAAAGTAAATTGTACTTAAAACCCCTAAAAATAACTTTTTTATTTTGTGTTGATTCTTGCACTCCACCTGTGAGACGCATAAAAACACGCTCTTGAAACCGTAGGTGTAAGTGTCTGTACACCGGTGGCATTGAAACCGACACACAAACAGTCGATCCTCTCACTGATGGTCTGGTCTGTTTATGTAGCTCACACAGAGACATCAGTAATACATTACAGAACAGTAACTTGAGTAAAAGTACTTTTACACAGAAAATCAAACATTAAAGCTCAACAATCAGGCCTTAAAAGAGGATTAATGTCAGAAAGCTCGCGCGCGCACGTCCACACTCAGCACCTCCAGCGCCCCCTGTTCTTAATTACCACTTCCTCAGAGCTTTTTGTATGTTACCATACAAAACCAGTGTATATTATAATACTCGCTCGTCTCTCCGGCGGGTGGGTGGTGAGGACTCGAAGCCGACACATTGCTCAGTTGGACTCAGTGGAAACTGCTGGGCTAGTGGAAACCACAGAGCGGCTATAAACAGCTGCTGGTGGCGGCCGCTAAAGCGTGCCATACAGCCGACACACCCAGCAGCTTCCCCTGCTCACTCCACCCTGAAAGACTCTCAGATTCCAGTTGCAGAGCAAATTCACTGCTTTTATTTATTCACACACACACACACAGACACACATACACACACATACAGGACACAACAACCAGAAAACATACAATTATAACAAAACGTTTTCAAAGTCAAAATAATATTTATTCCATAGTTTCAAAATTACTGCACAATATAAATATTACAAAAGGGAATACTTTGTGTACTTTTCAATATACTTAAACACTGTTAACATTTGGGATGAAAACACAGACGAGGGCTGCAGCAGTTATGTTGTATATATATATTTATATTAATGCTGCTCCCAGATCAGTAACATGTTCTATGATTTGGGTCCAAACTACTGACACTAAAGACTTTAAAGGTAAAGTTTAAACATTTTGGGAAATACTTTGTTACTTTTTCAGGTATTTGTAGTTGAGTTTTTATTTTTCTAAACACTTTTTACTTTCATCTTTTTCATCATTTTTACACAAATATATGCATTTTCTACTGGTTACACGTTCAAAAACAGGCCCTTTACTGTAGTTTTAATACATCTGAGGGGAAATATCAACTATTATTATTATTATTTTTTAGCCATTAGGTTTTCACCTTTAACCTGGTGACACAAAACAGTGTGTGAGATTGTTAGCATAAAGACTGGAAACAGACAACACATTATGTTAATAATGAGCTTTATAGGTGTTTGGACAGAACCGGGCTGCCTGTTTCTCTCTGTTTACTGTCTTTATGTTTTTATTTTTATAGCAGAAAATAAAAGGATATATTAGTACTGTTGATTTTATGGTTTTATTCCAGTTTTTAATGTATAAATACAAGTTTTTACTATCAAAAGAAACAGTTTTACCATTTAAAAATACCATATAAATGCTGTATAAAAAAGTTTTTTTGCCATAAGAATAATGAGAGGTTTTCTGTGCAATTTACAGTCTGTAATATAAACATTTTATTATTCTTAATTATTATTTTATTATATTTGGTCTTTTACTCTCACGGTTTGACATTTGTTATTTAGCTTATAACTTTCACTTTATTTCCCAAAATGTTGAACAATCCCTTTAATTGAATACACCCACTGTAGATGTCTGTGTGTGTGGATGTGAATACTGTATTTACAGATAATAAACTGAAGCAGAGGAGTTTATTTTAGCTGTCTGACTGAATATTTTTGGCTTTATTATTCATAAGATTTTAGCAGTTTTGTTTTTTGACCAGCAGAAACAAACACTTTTACACATTATATCAACTTTCAAGTCAATATGTTGAACTTGTTAGCAAACAGCAGTTGCTTATTTACACATCCAGCAGTTACAGAGCAACATTATGATTCATTTGAGGGAAATATCCGTGAATTTAACTGCTAAATGTCTGCAAACAGCTTCCGCTATAGATATCGCTATAAACAGCGCTATGAGAGCTGTAACAGTGAGTAAAGTTGTGTTGTAAGGATAAACGTGTTGATTTTAGCCACTTTAAAGCAACATTATGTCATTTTTAATAACTTAAAATAAATGTTTTATTAGCATTCTGATGCTACTCTGAGTTGAGTTCATTCCCCGGTTCTCGCTCTGTGTAACTTTTGGTTTCGGGTTGTCACAGGTGGCTTAATGGCAGTAAGTCACAACCACCAACTGGGACAGGAGGAAGATATGGAGTCACTGCTGGTTGTGCCAGAACCAGAACCAGAACCAGAACCAGGAGTGTTCAGGCTCTGTAGCTTCTATGGACTTACCTAAGGGCAAAGAGAAGGGATGCACAGGTGTGTAAAAACTACAGAACCTTTAAAAATTCAAAAATGTGAAATAATTTCATCTGTATCGGCCACAAGAAGCAGGTAATTACAGCTGTCCATAAGTACAACGGTGGTATTATAACTGGAGGCACCAAATCTTCCATAGTATTGCTTTAAAGTGTGTAATCCTTCAGTCTGTTTAAAAGCATGAAAAACCAAAAAAAAATGCAGTTTGAAAAGCTTTTTCCAGTTTTCTTAACCCGAACATTTATTATTACTGGTTGCTTGTAACAGAACTTTTCATAAACAGCATTTATTGTGATATAAAAGTGTAAAAGATGTGTACGACGCTCTGAAGGCCACAGTAAAAATGCCCAACTGTTAAAAGAAAATCATAGTTTCTAAAAAATAAATCTCCCAGTGAGTTGAAATAATTCAGCTTTTTTTTGGGGGGGAAGCAAAAAAAAAAAGACAGAATATTAACAAAAATATCTGTGATGGAAAAAGATTCCTTTACTTAGGATTTCCCTCACAAATGAAGGGTTTTATGTTGGTTCACAGTTTTTTAAATAGCCATAAAACCCATGATTTCAAAAATAATTCCAGTTAACGTCAACGAGTCTTGATCCTGGAGCCGATCCTTCGGTGGGCAGACAGAATACCGAGTACTCAGACATTCAAATACATGTTTCAGCTGTTTTTTCCTGCACCGCCAAAACCCTCACGGTTTACGAGGAGTTTGTTTATAGGCCAGAAAAGAAGCTGCGGCAGCAAAATGAGCTTTTAAAAACTCGTCCTGACAGTCCCGTCTGCCGGCTACGAGTCCGTCCTGCCGCCGGGGGTCGATTGTCTCGCTGCTCTTTACGCAGAAAACACAATAAGTCTGAAAGGAGAAGCAGGAAGTGTGTTTTCCTTTGGTTGGTCGAGGGGGAGAGAAACACTGACTCTGGAAGCGGCAGGAAGGATGAACCAAAACGTTCCTCCAGTATTCCCAATTGCACTTGATCGCCAGCCTCGGCCGCTCCCTTCAGCATTTAGTCGTAGTCGAACCCTTGCCGCTCGTCCTCGAGTCGATCTTGGCCACCAGCAGTCGGAGAGAGTCGCCCGACGATCGAATCAGTTCTCTGCCGCTGAGGTTAAAAACATACAGAGGAGCTTTTATTGCACAGTCACTGAGGGAGGAGACAGCAGACTGCGTGTAACCGAACTTTAATACTCACGTGTTGTACTCCATACCGACCAGGCTGATGCCGTTAACCGCCAGGACGCGGTCGCCTGTCCTCAGTTTCTGACACTGAGCGGCGGGAGAGTCGGGAACCACTGACTTCACGTAGATGCCGCTCATTCTCAGCTGCGTTTTCTAAATAAAACAGGAAAGATTATCCACAGCTGTGAGTTGGGAGAGTTACATGTAGAAAGAATTACTGTTAAATATCTGTAACAGAACAACGTTTGTTCACATGAAGCAGATTCAGAGCGTTTTCACAACTGGAAAGCAGAACTCGCTTTGATGCTGTTTCCTCTGTTTCTGCCTTTAAGACAAAATACTGGAGAAACTTCCGCATAGTGATAGTATTTTCTTCTGTGATGATGATTTGGAAAATGTAGGTTTAGCTGTGGTTTCGCTTCGGAGATCAGAGGGATGTTAAAATATCTCAACAACTATTCATCTACAAACATTTCTGATCCTAGAAGAGGAACTGATGTTAGTTTCACCTGTTAGCTGTCGATACTTCGGTTTATACCTTCATCATGAACGGATTGAAGAACCAAAGCTAATCTGGTGGAAAAGGGGAACTCCTGATGAACACTTCTCTTAACAATTTCAGTGTTTTTGAATCATTAAAGGTCCACTATGCGATCCTGCATGACGTTACTTCTATTGTCTTTTAAAGTAAATACCAAACAAAACAGAGCAAGCTCGCCCCTCCCCCCCATGTTTCCGTAACTGTCATGAACGCGCATGCATGCGGCATGGAAATTCAAAAAGTGGAGTTGCTGCCACAGCTAACGTCACTAAGATGCTGAGCTAAGTCTTAACACCAATATGTTGTACGATATGAGGCTATTAGTTACAGCTCGATATATTGAAAATATCTTGTATGAGCTTATGCAAAAGATCGGAAGCAGAGAACGCCATGGATTTGTTTTATTTTTATGCACTGTTATCTCGGTGATAACAACTTATTAATTCGTTATCTCGAATAAAACAAAAAATCGTATTTGTCGTTGATAACGACTTAAATTAATTAATGTTCTTCGTCTCTGACAAATTAATTGCGCTCTACGAACGGGCTTCCCGCACTTACCGGTTGGGCTACAGGCTACGGCCAGCCATGCTACGGAAGCCGTTCGGTGCAGCATTATTACATTGAAGTCAAAACTAGGAACTAAAACTATTACATTATTGAAATGGCTTACAAGTGTCGATAATTTCTTGTTTCGCCTCTCTTACCAACCTGTCGAGCTGCAAGTCGTGGAAGCCAGTACGCTACTCAATCAACTCTGCTCTCTGCCCCCCAATTATGTGCATGCGCACTAACCCCCCACCCCTCCCCCTCTCCCAACCATCTTGTTGGTGATTGGCTGGAATTGGTGTTTTGTTGTATTTGGTGCACAGCCTGCGCCCTAGGTGTTGTTTGACGTTTACGAGCCCCTGTGTGTCTCCCCTGAGACCGGGTTTTTTCACAGTGTGTTCAGGGCTAGCGGATCAAGGAGAGATGCCTACGATTTGAGAAAAAAATTAAATCGCGCTGAAACCATGCAAGATCGCATAGTGCACCTTTAATTTTACCTCCGATTACTATTTAACATCACATTGTAGCTCGTAACTAATCACTGATGTATGTGTGTATGAATGTGACCACGAATGAGGCTGATATTTAAAAGAAATTACAGGAAATGCTAAAAGTATTTTCACAAGTAATGTTGCAGTATTTGTGTAGTATTTTATGTTTTATTATTAATTACTTTCACTTTTTATACATATATATTTCAGAGATTCCTCTGCGTACTACCAGTGGTACTAATACCAGTGCTTTAAACTCAGATGGTAAATATTGAACCTGCTGAACATAAACATGTTAGCATTGTCACTGTTAGCGTGTCAGCATGCTCACGTCTTTAAATTGCTTTTTTTGTCCAACCAACAGATAAAAAAAACAAAATTATTTAGTTTACTATAAGAAAAACCTAATTTAAGAGGCTGGAATCAGAGATATTTTGGCATTTTTACAATTAATAAGTATTAAAATAGTTAATTTTCTGTCAACTAATCATTTTTATTTTAAAATATATATAAGAAAGCCCAAATATCTGTCTAAAAGCTGCACCATATTGGCTCCAGTCAGTAAGAACATTTAGTGTGATTAGTCCGGATTAAATTATGTGAAAACAATAAAAACTGATTAGAGTCAAACTCATTTTACACAACAAGTAAATACGTGTTATTGAATCAGTGTTATTGAAGGAGAGAAGTTACCATCCCGTCCACGAGCGCCAGTCCAAGACCATGAGGTCCTCTGTGCAGCTCCACTGTGAACACTTCCTCTCTGTCTTCCTCCTCTTCCTCCTCCACATTGTCCTTCTTCCACTCAGCGTATCCGACGGCTGAACAGACACAAACACATAAAACAAAGCAGGTTAAACACAATGTTAAAGATTTAAAGTTAAAAGTTGAGTAAATTAAGTTTCATGGACATAAACCAGCACCCAGACTCCAATAAATGTTTATACACTTCCAATTATCCACATTAATGACCCGGATTTAACTAATTTTCTCATCTGTTTTGGCAACACAGCGCACGAAACTCGCCAAACAGTTAGCAAAGCTTTGGTGCACATTAGATTAAACCTTTTAGATTATCTGCTGAGCTGCCTGAAATCAGATTTGTTAGCTTGAACGGAGACAAGTTAATGTTATACTGGCAGTTGTGGTTCTTTTCATTTAAAGGGTCAAAGGTTTAATCTGATCAATACTCAATACTTACGTAACCATGCTAACACGCATCTGTTCTTTTATATTTAATCGCTGACAAATGAGATAAATGAAACTAAATAAGCACCAAACACAAAGTACAGCTGATCCTAATGCTAACATCAGTGTGTTAACAGCCTCACAGAGATATATTTCAGCATTTTGTTCATTTCTAATGAGAAAAATCTAATAAAAGAGTATATTTTTTAATTTCAGGTTAATATTTTAATTTAACAATGAGAAGAAAACACTATATTTGTCCAAAAAGAAGCCTATTAAGTTGTATTATTGTTAAAAATTTACATAAAATACACAAACAAACATATTACAGACATAAACTGTCTAAAAAGTTTCTAAAATATCAGAAAAACTCATCTCTGATCGCTATTCACAGGAAATAATCTCATTTTACACAAACTTCCTGCAGTTATTGTGTTCATTGTTCAGTTTATCAGTTCTGTTATTGTTGTGCATTTAATATAATATTATATATATATACATATATATATATATATATATATATATATAATAAGGGCTCTAATAAGGAATAAACACAGTATTTATTGAACAGGTGTAACTTCCTGTCTTCCTCATCCTGTCACAACATTAACGCAGCAACAGTAGCATTCCCACCCCTGCAGCTCCTGCCGCCCCCCCACCACCCTCCCTCTGCCTTTTTCCCAACATGCAGTCTGTCTGCCCCCCACGCAGGACCTGCCCCGAACAATGCCGCTCCCGATTAAGATTCCACGCACCAACCCAACTGTAAATTCCCATGACGGATCGGCCACTGCTCTTTTCTCTCCTGACATCACCACCTCGCTGTAATTCTTGGGGCCAGATTAAAGGATTACCAAACTTTCAAAATAACATTAGCTGTTAGAGGTAGAGACGCTGGAGGCCGAGGTTCGGGCGCTGCACGCCGCGATGATATAGTTCCCATCAGGGGGGTAAAAGAACAGGACAGTTCCTCTGTTAAATACATTATATAAACATCAGTACACATTCATTTACAGATTAGTATTTGATTTATAAGATTTACACAATATCTTAAAACTATCTTAAAAATGACAATTTAATGCATTTTAATTTCTTACTTCTAAAAATCAATAACTTAAATATAAACAAAGTGCTGGAAAAGTAAACAAAGGCCATAGAGTTTAATTTATTACAATGTTTAATGTTGTAATCTTGGGGCTGATATTAATTAATATGCTGATTATTTTCCTGATTAATCGATCGCTTAGTGTTTAAAACATCATAAGCATCAACATATTTGTTAAGTTGCATGTCTGCATACATCTGTATATACATATCTGTACAGGAGATCACATTTATTAGTTAATTTAAGTTAATTTTAATTTAAGTTAATTTGAAGTAGCGGAGAATGGGTAGGAATAAATTGTGAGGATTTATTAATTGAGTTAGTGTACAGCTTTATTGTCCATTTCATTTTAATGTTATTTTGTCTCAGATCTATCAGCTGTCTTATATTTCCCAAACAACAATAAGAAAACCAAATATATTTAATTTACTACAATGAAGGGACAGAAAAGAGGGAATTTCTCCCATTTGGAAAGTTGGGACAGTTAAATGTTTGACATTTATGCTTGAAAAGTAACTTCAGTTATTAATAAATGCTAAAAATTTGTTGCAGTGACTCATTAAAGGTTGAACACGGCAACCTTCAGCATCTGTAGATAGAAACGTCTCATTCTAAGGTAACAAAAACACAATTATTCTTACTTTCAGGTGATTAAACACAAATGAAAACATACCTATAAATATTATATTCAGTTTTTGCCAATAGAT